GATGACAGCGAGGCGATCGGTATGTAGGGGTATATATCAAAGTGCAGAGTGTTACAGAATAGTAATGCATGGAGAGATGTGGGTGGTTTGGTTTCGTTGGATGATCGCAAAAATGAGGGGTGGTCGATGATCGGGCGGCGCGCTGTCCCTGAATCTTCTTTTTTAATATTTTTTTTCTCTTCGCTTTGTTTACCCGCAATGATTCACCCCGTTTTGGGTAAACAAGTGGGGGAACTGGAACTTTTTCGTCTGCAGCCACGAATTGATTGTTGTTATGGCAGCTGCCCAACTTGTTGTTGACGAACTGGAGTTCTGCTTTAAGTGAATTATGGTTGTTCTGAGTCTCATTAATTCTATGATTCTATTTTCTTCCCCCCTTTTTTTTTCCTTCTTCTTCTTCATCTGCCCTGATTCTTGGTTCTCCGCCGCACTACGCGTAGTACTACTAGTATCCCTCTCATCTACCCCCTTTTTTCCTTTCTCCCCTTGTTTTATTAACGGAAGGTGTGGGTGACCTCTTAACTAAAGGTGGACCGTGGGGATAGATTCATTTTCGGATGCAGTCTTATCGATAGTTAACTCCACGGCCAAGACAGTGCTTCAACCTAGCATACATGATACTAGTACGTTCTATTAGATTCGAGAATAGCAGTAGACTATTCTTTATGACTGGTAATTTAAAATAACACATCAGATTCGGAGTAAAAGGCGCGTTGGGCAGTAATTGCTTTACGCGACCGAGTCTGAAATTGCGCCGACGTGTTCCTTTTGCTCTTTTCCTCCCCCCTGAAAATATATAATCACAACTACTAGTAGTAGTAATAGTAAACACCCGCAGCCCGAGCAACCAAACACTGAAGGTGAGTCATCAATGATTACTGTACCATTACTACTCACCACTACTAGACGCCAAATACTACAGAGACTCTAGCCTTGAGACCACAATATCGATAAAATTCAGAACAATGAACAATATTAAATAGGTTAAATCCTGCTTTTGAAACTAATCACATACCACAGCCAGTCACACTGCAAGTGGATTTAAATTAGACTGCAGTAACTCCACTCGATCGCCGCGCCGCGCGGTGGATCACTCCAAAAAAGACGGCGGGCACTTGGACCAGCCTTGGTGTGTCACAGTGCGCGCGCGCAAGCGCGATGCAACAAGCGAACCTGACGGTCGGTGGAGGGGCTGCTCGCGTCAAGCATCGATTGATCAACTTTAATTCGGGTTTCTTCACCGCGATGAATTGTCCATAGTCTGGTCTGCGCTTGATTGGGTGGGCTTCCGCGACCCCTGCGGCGGCTATGCTGCATGCGCTACTGACTAGACGACGCCATGCTTCAAGCCTTCAACCTTGCTATAAGCGATGTAGTAATCCTCCGTCTTAGATTATTTCAGCTTCTACTACATTGCCATCCCCTCTTCATCCTATAGATAATCCATACACTACTACTAATTATACAACACCCATTGAACAATGTCAACCTCCACACCCCAAGCTACACCCTCACCACTCCCACCGCAACAACAACCACAACAACCACCACCTTCATCTTCACCACCCAGCTCCAACTCCAACCCACCTCCCCCCCAAGACCAGCCCACTATCCCCCAACCAACCCTCCGCCTCCAAATCAACGACCTCCGCCACCCAGCCTCAAAGACCTTCCTAACCCTCCTCCCGGACCTAACCTCCACACTCACCACGGCCCTCACAACCATAATTCAACACCTATACACCCCTCCCCAACAGGAACAACCAACATTCCACCCCACCCCACCCCCAACCCGCTCCATAACGCTCCTCCTCCGCGCCATCTCCGGCGTAGCCTACACCACCGGCACCGAGCTTGACAACGACCACAAAGAAATCCACCTATCACTATCATACATCGAAACCATCACCACCAACGGCAACAATCCCAACCCTACCGCCGAACTAACCGGCGTGCTCACCCACGAACTCGTCCACTGCTACCAGCACACCGCGCCCCCAGATTCTCCTAATTCCCCAAACCCCCCCGGCGGCCTCATCGAAGGAATCGCGGACTTTGTGCGCCTGAAAGCGGGCCTGGAACCGCCGCATTGGAAGCGGCCCGCGTCGGCGAAGGAGAGAGCGGATAAGTGGGATGAAGGATATCAGCATACAGCGTACTTTTTGGCTTGGTTGGAGGATGTTAAGGTGGGTAAGGGGGCTGTCGGGATGTTGAATGATCGGTTGTTGAGGGTCGGGTATGTGGATGGGTTCTGGGAGGGGCTTTTTGGGAGGGGGGTTTTGGAGCTTTGGGAGGAGTATGGGGTTTGGTTGGATGGGGGTGGTGGTACTGGTAGTACTACTAGTGGTGGTGGTGGTGGTGGGTGTTGGGAGGATGAGATTGTTGATCGGGTGTAATGGGTATTATTACTAGTACTGCTGGTAGTGCTTTGGTGTAGGCTGGGTTATGGTGTGGGATGGTGATGGTTGAATGGCGTCAGGGCCCTTCCAGGAAGGGTATTACTACCTATTAGGTGCTGTTGACGGTGCCATGCTTGTCCGTTGTGCGCAAGGTCCATTGATTCAGTAAAGTACATACCTCTATTTACGTACTTCTCGTCTAGAGTAACTGTCTGTAAACAGCGTCATCCCAAGTCCATCTCTAGCCAGTATTCAAAGATGCAATACAAAAAGAAAAAAAGAATAGCGTTTAAATCGGATAACATGAACATAGAAATAACATCAGAAGAAAAAGAAAAATAGATTTCCCATATTGTACAAATCCTTGCAATGGTGAATAGATGAGGGGGTAGCAGTATGTAATGTTGCATCGCTGTCAATCCCGCATTGACAACATCTATAACAGATATAATGTGTGACGCCGTTTCTTCAAATCTCTCATGCTCACTCCTACACAATCACCTCGCCCAAGTCCACGTGCACCGGCTTCCAGGGAGCGGCTCCCTCTTCCTCCATCGAACTAGGCACACGCACGTTCAGCGGACTGTACAGGTACCATCCCTTCAGGGCGGCGACGGCAGCCCTGGAACGAGCCTCGAGCAGACTGGCGCCAGCGCCCTCGCCCAACTTATCCTGACCAGAGTAGATGCCAACGACGAACACGGGGTGTCGGCTCTTGCGACCGGTTTCACTGATGATCCGGGCAACGGGCTGCTCGAAGTTCTCCCGGGCACACAGGCGGGCAAGATCCCGAGCGGGTTGGGAGAAGTTGAACAGGTCGGAGATGTTGAGGTGACGAGAGAGGAAGTGCTGCTCAAAGAATCGCTTGGCAGCAGGGCGGCCTGCGTGCAGGTAGATAGCACCCATAACAGCACGCACAAAGGTTGCGTTAGCCTGTTCGGCGGTCACGCCCTGGGTGTTCTGGGCGTCCTGCTTAGACTGTTCCGAGGGATCCTTGGGCCCCTTGACTGGATCTCCGAACTCATTGTCGTAGACAACACTTGATGTGATCGACTTCCGCCAATGTGTCTGATCTTCGTGAGGTCTCGCCGTGCCAGTGACAGGCTTCGAGTGCACATCAACTCCCGGGAGGACTCTGTTGAACTGCAGGTAGCCGGGATCAACTTCTCCACCAGGAGCAGCAGCGGACTCCACACCCCATTCTCTCGCCATTGCGGCCAATGTCTTGGGCCCGACATACGCATACATGGCTGCGAATATAACGGTCAAGGGGAGTCGGGGATACGTGCAGATGAGGTATTCGGAGGTGTAGTGTGTCAACAAATCGTGACCAAGGGTGGCCAGAGACTCATTGTTGAATTTGGGGTTGGGATCAGCCGAGGCGTCCACGAGAGAGCGAGCGAGGGTCTCGAGGGGTAATCGTGAAGGGAGGTAAAGTCGTGCGTGAAGCGCAGCCAGTTTGGCGGACTCGCGTGCGGCCTCGACCGGGGGAGACGGGAGTTGGTACTTCGACTGTCGGGAGGTAGGGGGGCGAATAGATGATGCTAGAGGGTCTTCCTCGAGCAATTGATCATTGGCAGCCGGCGCAGCAGGCGAAGCGGTCGATTGATGCCGGATGCCAGTGTAGAGACGGTGCTGCAGGCGGCCACCAGTCCGGGCCTGCGCCGAAAGGACCGAACTGCTCCATCGTTGGAGCTGCAGCCTCTTCATCTGGGCAACTGTGTGGGTGTTGGGCCGTAAATTAGAAAAAGACCGAATTCAATAGTAATGACCGCCCGGGGACGTGGCGTGGAGTGTTCAAGACGGGGGCAGATCCAACTTGAGCCGGCACGAACTTTTGGTCGGTAGAGAAAAGTCGAGCTTCGGAGAAAGTCACGGGGTCTGGCGGTCGTGTGAGTGAGAATCGGCCAGGTGGCGCTAAACTCAATAGGGATATAGCGTCACGGGGTCTGGGACGAGGGACGAACGACGGCCATTTCGGCTTCCAACCCGCTCAGAATAACGACGAGCTTCTCAGCGAGCCATTGTCCACGTCTTTCCCCTACGTTCATTCTAGATACCCTCAATACACCATGGGTGGAGGCGGCAAGATCCCGTATGCGACTCTTCTCCCACCTGGGACCACCATTGCATTTGAGATTGACTGAATTCTTTCCGCAGGTATCCCAAGGAAGTCTGGTCTCCCGCGGGTGGCTGGTACGCTCAGCCCGCAAACTGGAGGGTCAACACGGCCATCATTGGTGCCGCTGTTCTTGGAGTTGTCGCTGTGACCTGGAGCATCAGTGCCGACCGTGAGCACCGTGACAAGATGCCCGAACCCGGCAGATTCTTCCCCAGTCGCTAGTCAGTCCCCTCAGCCAATCTCGTGTCATGTGTTTCTAAGCAGCAGTCATTGACTTTATATTGCTTCTATCTAGCTGGAGCCGGGAAATCAGAGAACACGAAAAGCAGCTGGCCGCCCAGAACCGGTCATAGAGCGGCAACAGGATGAAGAGGTAGTTGTGGGAAAATGAGTACCTGTGGTGGTTTTCTATGGCATGCCAGGTTTTGTTTCATAATTTTGTGGGCTGTACGACAATAGAAGGGCGTTCTTCCATACGGTCAGTTGATCTGAAAGTGCTTCTGAGGAGACTCTTCCAATGTTCGATACAAGCGCTGTGTGTACAGACGGACCCGTTCCGTGAACTCAGTCTCGTTCCAAAGCTCCTTTCCATCACTGGATGTAGACATGCGCGGCACTCCGATCTGCTCCACCACGAAGCTGGCCGCCACAGTAGCGAAAATCAAGGCCGTCAAGACCTGGCTATGCTGTGCAGCAGCTTGCACTGCTTCCTGCCATGCCGTAGATCCTGCGAGGACTGAGTCGATAAGATTGGCTGGTTTTCTGCCTGCACTGACCATGCCCTGTGTCAGGGCACCCAGAAAAGAATTGCCCGCGCCAGTGGGGTCAACTACCGCTGACACCCCTGAAGCACTGGGCTGATGGTAGGCGGGCAGCCAGACCCTCTGGGATCTAGAGTAAGAGTAGCTACCGTCTTTACCGGCTCTGATAACCAAATGCCCGTTCCCATCAGGACCAATACCTGACTCAAGGATCTTCTTGACGATGCTCTTCCCATAGTCGGTGTCCTCGCTCCAACCAGGCTGACCAAACATCATTCCGAGTTCCAGTTCGTTGGGGCTCACAACATCTACAACTTGGTTTGCCGCAAGGAACCGCTCTTGCTCTTCTGGCGTGCATAGATCCGGCACAGGTTCCCAAACGAAAATAGGTCTTTTCGCAGCGTGCTCCACTTGGGGAGCTTTGCCTGCTCGCTGTAGCTCCTCCCGTCTGCGCAGGATTGTTTGTACAATCGAAATGCAACGCGAAGAGGAGCAGACCATGTGGAAGGTCTTGGAGAACACCTGAGCATCAGACAGCATTTCTGGTTCCAGGCGCAACTTCGGGGACAGGTATTTGAAGTCTGCCACAAATTAGCATTTGTGTCAATATAGTTGCAGATGATTAGAAAGTGTACCGACCTCGCTTCTCATTCGGACCGTAACCATTCCAGGCCCTGGTTGTCAAACGACTTTGGTCCTCCCGGAATACACAGTTTGTATCCCACGACTTGAGCAGATCGAGAACATCTGGAGGGAAGTCGGAGCCAACATCCACAATCCAGCTCACGGCCTGCGAATGTTCTCTTCCAGTTACCAAGCGGGCACCAACGACGGCAAACGATGCTGCGCCTCCTAGAACATTCTTTACGTTTGGTCTTGTTCCATCGAAGTCTATATCGTCTATATCACAGGAAAGGGGGGTTCCGTAAGTACATAGTGCGATTTCGACTGCGAATGGGTAGATCATGGCGTACCAAGAATGAACATGCCCATTGTGCAGAAGTCCACATTGTCTCTAGAGTGCTCCGAGGAGCCATGGCCTTCCAACATGGTTACGGAAGCGCTCAATTACCTTGAAGGAAGAAAGACTGGTGAGATATTGTACTCTGGCGGGGTTCGAGGGATTCAATCCAATCCGCCGCTTGAGTCGCCGTCATGGCGGCCTTATCGGATTACCGGCTGATACCACCAACGTCATGGGAGACGGGCGGATAACAGCCACGCTGGCGTACCGTATGGTATGACCCACTATCAGGAGCTCCAGGCCTCAGGCACGGGTCAGGAGCATCGCCGTCTCATGCAATTCCAACGGCTGCCTTGATCCTCTCCCTCCTCAGCATCTTCTTTTTTCTGCCTACAGGTCGCTACTGACCCTTCTTCTATCTCTCAATCGTGGCACACGGTAGCCCGTGCCCCTTAATAGCTCCCTTTGTCCTCCTTTACTCCGACTGTCATCAATAGCTCCCTCCCTCCTTACTTCGACAGGGGCCGTCAAGATGGCGACAGGAAGCCACATGCATAATCTCACCACCCTTATCAAGCGGTAAGCCTTGAATCAGATGCGCTTGGAACCTCAGCGCTGTGCTCTCTTCTATTCTTTTATACATCCCTCCATCAGTACCATGTGCGACCGATTACATGTGTTTCTAACCAGCTGGAAATGCCAACAGGTTGGAAGCCGCAACCTCCCGCTTGGAGGATATGGCTATGTCACTGGATGACCCCAACTCGCCCAAGACCATAGCCCCCCCTGCTGTGCCTGAAGCTGCTACTCCTGAGCCTCCCAAGTCAGCTCCCGCTGCGGCTCCCGCGCCGCCTCCCATCCCGCCGCAAATCCAGGACTTTGACACCCTGATTAACGAGGATGTCCGAAACTTTGTGGAACTGGGCCAGAAGATCAATGGCTTGGTCGGAGAACAGGTAGGAGAGAAAGCGCATGTTCTGCTGAGTGCATCGCTCACAATTTCCGCAGTCCAAGGTAGTCCTTCAAGCCTTCGAAGCCGAGCGTACCTACCTCCTTGTGTCCACGAAAGCTAGAAAGCCCGAGCAGCAGCCCCCGGAGCTCATGACGGGCCTTCACAATGCTTCGGACAGCATTAACAACATCCGCGAGTCGAACAGAGCTTCTCCTCTCTTCAACCACTTCAGCGCAGTCGCGGAGGGTATTGTTGCCCTGGGCTGGTTCTTCGCAGACAAGCCCGCCGATTTCGTCACTGAGATGGCTGGCGGTGTCGAATACTACGGAAACAAGGTCCTGAAGGAATACAAGGAGAAGTGCGCCGCCTAAACAACCTCTGTAATCCCAAATGGAGCTGACCCATGTTGCAGGGACCGTACCCACGTCCAGTATATCCAGGCCTACTACCAGATCTACAAGTCCCTCGCCGCATACCTGAAGAAGCACTACCCTAAGGGCCTGACCTGGAACGACAAGGATGGAATTGACGCCCAAGAAGCTCTTAGACAGGTCAAGGCCGGTAGCTCTGGCCCTGCTGCCGGCGGTGCTGCTCCTCCTCCCCCGCCACCCCCTCCAGTTCCGACCCTGAACGTTCCTGGCGGTGTTCCTCCCCCTCCTCCCCCGCCGCCCGGCGTTCCTCCTCCGCCTGCAGCAGCCCCAGCTGCACCAGACATGTCAGCTGTCTTCGACCAGCTGAACCAAGGTGAATCCGTCACCGCTGGCCTTCGGAAGGTCGACAAATCCCAGATGACGCACAAGAACCCCAACCTTCGCGCCAGCTCCATGGTTCCCGATAGCCCAACCTCCGGAGGCAGCGCCGTTCGGGGCAAGTCGCCTGCGCCGAGCAAGAAGCCCAAGCCTGAGAGCATGCGCGCTCGCAAGCCGCCGCGCAAGGATCTGGAGGGCAGCAAATGGTTCATCGAGAACTTCGACAACCCCGGCGAGATCGTTGAGATCAACGCGCAGCAGAACCACTCTATCCTCATCTCGCGCTGCAACAAGACTATCATCAAGATCAACAACAAGGCCAACGCCATCTCCATCGACAACTGCACCGGCCTCTCCCTCATCGTCGACTCGCTCGTCAGCAGCCTTGACGTCATCAAGTCCCCCAAGTTCGCCCTCCAAATAGACGGTGTCGTCCCCACCCTCCTCCTGGACCAGGTCGATGGCGCTACCGTCTACCTGGGCCAGCAGAGCCTGGCCACCGAGGTCTTCTCCAGCAAGTGCACTGCAGTCAACATCATGCTCCCCCCTAAGGAGGGAACCGACGATGATACCAAGGAATGCCCCATTCCCGAGCAGATCAAGACATACGTGAAGAACGGCGTTCTGGTCAACGAGATCGTTGAGCACGCTGGTTAGATTTGCCCAGTGGATAAAGACTGCATATACATGTAGAATCTTGGATATTACTTACCCCCCATCTCCGACAACAACCACAACCACAACCTATTTACTACCCCTTACCACAACAAAATGGAGGCGATAATATGCGGCAGTTGGAAACCAACTTCTTGGAACTTCAGTGCTGTGTTTTATTCTGCTCAATCTCTGTAGATAAAATCTATTTTTCCGTTCAAATCTTATCTTCCGCTATTAACATGTAGGATGTGTGAGGACGTGTATAGAAACAGAAAGAGCCTCAGGTGGTCCCTTCCTCTTTCCCCACCCCACCCCCAGCATATATGAATTACACAGTACTTGAGGGGATAATAAGAGACGTAGAAGAGGAGATAATCCAATTACCGCACATCAAACCCTACAGTAACTATGTGACACACATGTTATATAACATCCACAAGCGTAGTGCAGACTGAATCAAGACGAAACAGAAAGTAAAAACAGAAATTGTTTCCGTATTAGTCCCCCCCCCCGAATAGCAATTACAAGACTGCATGACACCGCTATCTCCAACAATAGTATAGAACAAAGAGAGAGATTATTGCTGCTGAACGCACAGTCCACATCGGTTGTTTAACTGGTGTTCGATCGACATCAGGAAGAATTGAAGGTATCGGCTAAAGGAGAGAGATAAAGGGAGGAAAGACTTGGTTCAAGATATCTAAAGTAGTGGAATATGTAAAGAAGAGAGAAAGGTGACATGTTGAGGTGGGTATAATTGCTAGTTCCCGTACTGTGATGGTTGTCCTGTGCGCCTGGCCGTGCGTATTTATTTTGGGTGAAACGGCAGGATGGTAAATTATAATGAATGAGATGATCCTGCATCTGCGCTTAAGAGGTATAGTGCTGTGCTGTTAGTTGAGGAAGACGTGGGGTTGTCCCGCTGTGCTGTGCCGTCCTGCTTGAGGAGAGAGATGCACACTTCAATGAGATGTATAAGAGAAATGGAGAAGAGGAAGCAGAAATGAAGAAAGAAAATGAGGTTACCATCACGATACGGGCGACGTCATGCTGGTTAAACGCGTGCCGGCGTTATTCACGGGACTTTTTCAGGTCAGGGAGAGTCGTGCTTGTGCACGTCCAAACCCCTCAGCTTCCTGGCAAGGAGGCTGTCACCAGCCTCGGAACCGTTGAAAGCGAACGGATACCCGCCATAGCCAGTCTCACCCTTACTGAGTTTACCATAGAGCCCACGCTCTGTGTTACACTGTTCCGCAAAACTTGGGTCGAGTTTGGGCCCCGGAGACAGTGACGGGATAGGCCTGAAAGGATGTGAGGAAGGCTGGGGAGGACTGAAGAGGCTGGAGGTGCCCCGCGGGGCACCTTCTCGGTCTGCAAGTGTACGGTCTGAGAATGGGTCCTCTGGAGCACACGCGGAGGAGCTCCCGGAGTAGGGGGGCTCTCGTGAGGTCATAGCCCCCGACGGACTCAGCATCGATGATGGTTCTCGATCTGTGGGTACTTTGTGTGGCATCTGGTCTGTTGATGACCGTGCAGCTGCGTGTGTATGACTGGAGTCCCGCGAGGGTTTGTAAGGCGTGTAACGGGGATCAGGGCATTGAATTTCATTGCGAAGCTTTTCCTTACCGTCGGGAACTCGGTTGGCAAATACAACACGAATGCTAGAGTGAAGATAGAATCGGCCCCGAGAAGGACAACATATGTTCAGATGGATCAAGTACCGTAGAGTCGGCTTGTCTTTGGGATCCTCCGAAGCGTTGAGCGACGCTTCAGGGCGATCGGTTCCATAGTTCTTTCGAGCGCTCAAAGGCATATCAATGATGGGACCCACCGAATAGCTTCGTTGTCGGATGAACGTCTTTGTCCCCGGCTCCATATCGCTGAGGTCGTAGGGCACGAGGAACAGCTTCACCGCTGTTTTGTTGGGGTTCTTGATCATGATCTGCAACTGACCGTGTTGTGGGATTCGGTAGCAACCACCCGGTGGACTTTTGGGCGATTCCGCCCTCCTATGCCTCTTCTCGCGCCTGCGCAAAGTTTCCTGATCGGTTGACTTAGGTTCTGTGGTATTTCCCATGACACAGTCATTGTGTGTTCCTGCGGGGCTCTGATGGCGCCTGCGACGTCGACTGCTACCACTGGACGTGTCCCGAGGAAGGAAATTGTCCAAGTCTATCAAACCAACATAAGGGCTGGGGCTATCGTCCGCGATTGAGCGGCCACTGCCTGACGTGGGGTAGCTGTAGAACACCGCCGGAAATGGGATTGTCACGTGCGGTGGGCATTTGAGGTTGGCTTTGCATTTGCCTTTACCGAGGACGCCGATTTGCGCGGTGAAGTCCAAGGGCTTGGAAGGGCTCATCGACATTCTTCCACGGAGGATAGACTCCTCGTATGAGCCAACCATTGGCGCATGTACTCTGGAAGAGACTTCTGAGCCCACTGAGGGTCTTCGAACCCTCGTGATCGGAGTTTGGACCGAGGATGCAAGCTGAAGGCTGTATGTTGAAGTCAGGGACCGCCGAGGGGAGTGAAGATGATAAGATGTTGCCGTGTCCCATGGTGTGCGATGAGCATCAGACTGGAAGTAGATCCCCTCTGCATGGCCCCCATGCGATGCCTGCAAGTGCTGAAATGTTTCCGGGGGAAGGGTACGGCGGCGACTGACTTTGTCGATGGCGTCCGAATGACCGACATACTCCGGCCGAGGAGAGAAGTCCAGGTCTGTATTATTTGCCTGGTGAACAAGAGGGCTCGTCGGGGCTTTCAATATGTAGCTCGAAGAGAACGAGCCGAGAGAGGGCGCCCGGGAACGGGCTGTCGGGGTTGCCGTCTGAACTGATAGAGATTGGCCTCGTAAAGAGGCAGGGAAAACGGGAGTACTGAACCAAGGCGTCGTCGGCGAGGAACTCAGTAGTGGAAAATGTGCGTTGACGGTGCGACCAGGCACCGGGGATGACGGGGCGTGTTGCTGGCTCTGGACTTGAGAGCTTCCTTCCCTAAAGTCTCCTGAATGTAAAGCTGAGCGAGGGCGTTCAATATCGGCCGGCGATGCTAACTGCTGATCACTCGAGTCAGACTGGTCGCTAGGACCAGCATTTACAGGTGCTTTGTCTTTCATATTGGCGGAAGATACATCGGGTGTCTGAGAGGTAGGGTTCGGACTGCTTTCCGACTATAACGAATGAATGGGTTAGCAAGGTCTCGGATACATGACAATGGAGCTTCTGCTGTTCTAGATGAGATAGAACAAAGGAGAAAAGAAGAACCCGAGACAATAAGTGTGCTCTACAGTGGCAGGACATACGGAATGATGTGATGCCCATCGGGGCGCATCGGCGCTTTTAAGATACTGGATCAGTTCCTCGCGATTTGTTGCATGCATTCCCGCCCGGCTTTGATCCGGAGAGGGGCCTTCGTATGGGACATTTTGAGACCCCGTGAGGGGGTGGCTTCCCAGGGGCTCCCCAGGAGGATGTTTCCAGGGGGAGATGGTCTGATGTCGAGTATTAAGCCGTGGCTGGTGATCATCAGACCACAAATCCTGGAGCCGCTGGTGATCCGGATCCTGGAAGATGGGCATGGTCACCGGGAGAGGGAATGGGCAGAATGACGGGAAAAGAGGGCAAACATCGCAACCTCAGGAGCAGAGATCAGGGAGACGGACAACGAGGACCCTGATAACGCAAGAGGAGAGGGGATTGCAGAGGTTGCGATGATCCGCAGAAACCGAAGTGGCGGAAGAGGAAGAGTCACGGTGGAGTCGACGATGACTTGATCTGCCTTTTGAAGACTGGCTCCGAGTGGGTAAGTCGTTTCGGGGCGTGGGGAACCAGAGGAAGGAAGATGAGAGAAGGTATATATATATATATATATATTTATATTTAGTAGAGACGATAAGATAGCAAGACTGACCGGAAATTAATGAGCGAAGGAATTAACAGGACATCTGAAACGACTAGTGAATCAATCGGGCGCGAGTAAAGAGAATAAAGACCAAGAAAGCAGCAGACGTGAGGGGGAGAGAAATGCGGAAAGAGGAGAAAGAAAAAAAGAGCCAGAAGATGCGGAGGCAACGCTTTCGATTCCATCATCGGTCGACCCTCAATCAATTTCCCTGCCCAACTCTATATTTCCCTCTCTGATTTCCCCTCCATTGTAACCCTACACCTGCAGAAATATTCCCTGCAATCCTCCTGATTATTGCAATAAAATCCCGCCATTCCCGGTGGAGACAACGCAGCTTTGCTTGGGAACATCCTGCAAGAGCAGCCCATCACCCGCTAAACTCGAGTTCCTGCACCCGCTCGGCCTTTGCCGTCCAAAACTTTTTTTTTTCTCTCTTCTACAGCAATAAAAAAAAAGGTCAACGAACAACACATCCCACCCCCGCCACGTTGTCGCTGGATTAGTTTCCTGCCCAATACACCGCTCCTTACATTCCGCGATCGGAGTCGAATTCCAAGAAAAAGAAAAAGAAAAGAAAAGAAAAGCAAAGCAAGACAACCAATTCAAGCCCCCGACCAACCATGGCCCCGAAACGCTCCCGCGACGATACCACCACCGCCGACGAGAAGCGGGAAACCACCAACGATGCCCCCGTGAAGAAGAGAAAGGGTTTCAGCGTCGGCCCTGCCAACCTCCCAGATGGAACATACCGTCGCAAGAGTGAGTTTTTTTCCCCCCTTTTCTTCTTCCTTACCCCTCACTACTCCAGTCTAGAACCGTGAAAGCTAACAGAAGATAAAACCAAATATAGCCCAGAAAATTAAAAATGACCTAATTCAAAAAGCCAAAGTCAAAAAGGCCTACGCCAAAGTTCGCGCCGCCGAGCTTGCCGCCGCTCCATCTAGACCCATCTACACCGACGATGCCCAAGATCAAGACGAGGATAACAAGCGCGCGGACCCGACCCCGGCGTCGTTGGAACTTCACCCGGACCGACAGGCTATGCTAGACCAGCCGGCGCCGGAACCCGAACCTACTCCTGCTGGTAGACC